CTTCAGCTCCCTCCCCAACACATGCTTTTCCTGCAGCTAAAAATCTGCTGAAATGTATGTGGCGGGTCTTTGTGTTCCATTCCAGGCAAATCAAGCAGATGGCAGCCAAATAAGCAGCAAGGGGTTGCTGGGGTTTCTCCGCACCTGGTAATGTTTTCACCACTGTAGAGACCACAGTCTGACCTAAGCCATGACACACTCTACTTAAGACAAAAGAATGACTGCAGACAGAGCATGCCGGTTTACTGGTTATCTTGAATTACTCGCATGTAAGATGATATGAAATTAGAAAGTCAGAGTCCCACAGCAGAACAACATTTCAGTTAGTGTCATCTGCTGCCTTTTGCATAGTTTGGCCAGAGCTATAAAGTTTGATTTGGGAACTGAGCAGGGCCGCCCAGAGGATTCAGGGGGCCTGGGGTCTTCCCGCCGCCGAATTGCCATTGAAGACCCTGCGCTGAAGGACCTCCCGCCGCGGGTCTTCAGGGCACTTAGGCGGCAGGTCCAGGGCGAAAGGACCCCCCGCCGATGAAGACCCGGAGCGGAAGAAGCTCCGGGGGCCCGGGCCCCACGAGAGTTTTCCGGGGCCCCCGGAGCGAGTGAAGGACCCCGCTCCAGGGGCCCCTAAAAACTCTCGTGGGGGCCCCTGCGAGGCCTGGGGCAAATTGCCCCACTTGCCCCCCCGCCTCTGGGCGGCCCTGGAACTGAGTCCAAACTTCCCTGAAGTTCAGAGAGGTTTAGACGGTGGAATGGTGGAGATCTGGCCATCATAGAGGTAGGCTCACGTCATAAAGATCATGCCCATGCAAGTGACCTGGCTCTTTCGATCCCCACTCTTGCTGAAAGGGCTCCACTATTGTTAACATCATCCACTGCTCTGCTGGCACCCGAGCCTCATGCTACTTTCCTGTGATGACACATCAAGGCACATAAGCAATATAGCAGCAGAGAATTCTGTTTGTGTCAGCTATATTAACCCATCTAGCAGTGGCACCTACGCAAGGCCTCAGGGCCAGATTTTCAAGTTCTTAGCACTCAGAATTAGGACCAGATATTTAAAAGTGCTCAACACCCAACGTGCAACCCAAGTGCTGATTTCTTTTGAAAATCTGACCATTTGTTTGGATGCCTAACTGGGAGCTGAGCTTTCTCAAAAATCTGGCTCTAGTTGTAGGAGCTGAGCCCTTCTGAATAATACAGCCTAAATTTTTGGATTTTTTGGAGCAGCTTTCATCATTGTACCTCCCAACAGGCCTAGCATCCATCCATAAAGTTTAATCTAGTCTGCGTGAGCCCCTTTTAAGTCCATAGCAACTGAGATTTCTTACTCTAAAGGTACTGGGGCAAATCCTCAGCGGGTGTAATTTATTATGGCTCCATTGACCCCAGTGCAGCTATGCTGATTTATACCAGCTGAAGCTCGGGCTCATTGTTGTCACTTGCAGTTTCTTTTGAAAGAAACAAGTGAACTTGGTGTATTTTGTATCCCAAAGTCCCTTATTTAGTTTTCATAAGGCCAAGGCAGTGTTATGAATAGTCCTATCCTTCTAATCCAGTGGTCCACAAACTTTTTACCTCACGTTCCCCCTTTAAGAGCACAAGCCCTTATAATCCAGTAGTGAGTGCTGCCAGCTGAACTAGACTGCTAATAGTATTAGGGATCCCAGCATCTCAACTGATCGGTGCATGTCATCATATAGCTGGTTCATTTGCTCTGCCCTGTTGTATTAATTTAGGTGTAATATATGGACCCAAAGAGTCAAAAGTGGGCATGACTCTGTCACTGTCCAACATGGAAAAGTTTTAAGCAAGGGTTTGGTATGTAGAGACTTTAGCCTGTTCAGTCCCATGGCAAACACACCACTAGCAGTCTTTTAAACCTTTTAATAAAGATACAGAAAACGAAGGAAAGACAGTGAAAGCATTTTAACACCATTTCTTGTTCCTTTTCCTGGTAGCTCAAGAAAATCTATAGAAAGAGAAGGGGGAAAAGAAAAACTTATTTGACAGTCTTTTACACAGTAATAATTGTCCTTTTGGGGGATAAGAGACAAGATGGGCTCAGGGCCGTAGCAACAAAGAACGTGGCCCCCTCCGAACGTGGGCCCCTCCGAACATATGTCCGGGCGGGGCCCCTTACAATGCAGAAACTGGAATGCGGTATTTATTTTGCCACTTTTAGGGGCCCCCTTCCTTGCGGGGCCCCCTCTGGTCGGAGGGTACGGAGGGCGCTCGCTACCCCTCTGGATGGGCTGGAGTTGTTGTTGTTAAAGTCCGATCCCGTTTTCTAGAAGACAAAACAAGACAAACGCACAGAAGAGGGTAGAAAAGAAAAGTAAAGGGAGGAAAGGCAGCTTCTTTTATGTTAATGCTGACTTGCAACTGGTATGGGGTTGTTTAGGCCATTGCTTTTACTTGCCTCTGTGTTCACAGGCTTACAGCAGTGTTGCAAAATATACAGTTTGGTCAGCTAAGTCAGACTTCTATAAGGAGAGGGATAGGAAAAAGAAGAAATTAAGTGGAGAAGGAAAAGGATGCATGGGAGTGGGGATGACAGGGGCGGTGACACAGTCTCACGTTCCAGAGGACATTCGGCATTTAGCCAGAGCCCAGTGGTGATGTCATCTGGGTCCCTCTCTCTAGCCTGGTCTAGTCAGAACATGTCTCAGGATCAGGATGTTGAAGGTACAGGAGTGTCATGCTGCATCCCAGGGAGATAGTTGGTGGTGGTAGGGGGCAGCCATGATTCCCCTTCTTTCAGTCAGCCAGTGTCGCAGTAGCCAGTTTTCCCTCCCAAAATTTCTTTTTGAGGACCCCAAAAGGGAGTGATGGGGCAGACTAGCCCATCTTATTAGTCAATCCTCCAATTAGGCCTAATTCCTGAGAGACAAATTTTGGCCTCACATTTCTTTTGGTTACCAAGTGTGGTTTTAGCACAGTTCTTGAAATATATTAGTGGGCCTTTTTGTTTGGACTAATTTATGGCATGTCTACACTACACCGCTACATCGGCACACATGCACCAATGCAACTGCACTGCTGTAGCGCGTCTGGTGACGACATGCTATGCCAACGGGAGAGCGCTTTCCTGGTGGCATAATTACTCCACTTCGGCAAGAAGTGGAAGTGATGTCGGTGGGAAAGCATCTCCTGCCGACATAGCGCTAGTGTGGACCGTGCAAAACTTGCGTTGCTTGGGGGAAACTTGTGTCACACCTCTGAGCAGCGTAAGTTAGATCGACTTAAGCGCTAGTATAGACCTGTCCCTAGTCTTTTTGTTTTCTTTTTGCACCTTTTCCCATCAACATTTATTATTACATGTGATTGGAGCATTTTCTAAACTTTTATTCACTTTTTTACAATTGAGCTTACAATTAGGGTAAGTTTCTAGGCTCAATTATTACAACACCCCTTTTTCCTTACTGTGTGAAAGGACAGAACGGTGAGCAATACCAGCAGAAGGTGGGAGGGGGGCAGAATAGCTCAGTGGTTTGAGCATTGGCCTGCTAAAACCCAGGGTTGTGAGTTCAATCCTTGAGGGGGCCATTTAAGGATCTGGGGAAAAAATCTGTCTGGGGATTGGTCCTGCTTTAAGCAGGTGGGTGGACTAGATGACCTCCTGAGGTCCCTTCCAACCCTGATATTCTATAATTCTACTGGAAGCCTAGAGATGCTGGGAACTAGAGTGAACAAATTAGTTATTTGACCCATCCTATATGCCAGGGTGAATATTGCAAAATAAAAAGAATATGGTGAGGACTATGTTGCCATCTCTTGTGATTTTATCATAAGTCTCCTGATATTTGGTGTTTACCTTAAAATCTAGCTCCCAAAGTCATGTTGTTTTGTAGAAATCTCAGCTTTCATTTTAAAAAGTAAGTTTCTTGTCCTCACGGTAGCTATGGAAACGTGGACCCTAAAATTTCAAACTTCAGAAGATAAATGAAAATAACTCAAATTTTTAAAAAAATCCTATCATTTTGAAAGACAAGTTTCTACTGTAATTATTTGGGGTCTGACTCCTGGTTTTTGAATGCTTGGAATTGGCAGTACTGTGAGATGGAAAAATCAAGGCTGATCAGCTTTAAAAAGTAGCATGCTTTTGTTAATGGTTTAAACTCCTGTCACTGCGGACCAGACTCCTAGGAGCAGATGAAACAAACCCATCAACCCCCATGCAAACCAAAACCGGGGAGCTTTACACTGACAGGAGGTGAGCTAGCTACATAAGCAGGGACATGCACATTATTAAATAGCTCCATTGAGGAAAAGTTACTTCCCACGCTTCACCTACAGAGGGCATCCCAGCTCATTCATATGTAGACTCAGTGAATGCAGCTGCTGGAAGCAGCAGGGCTCAGGGTTTTTTTTTTTTTCCAGTGGAATCTTTTCTGTGATCCGGTTGGTTTCTCTCCACTCTCCACGTTTTCCCTTCCAGCCCTCCACTTCTTCGGATCAATGGATGTTACAGCTCTAACTCCCATCTCACATACTGCTGGTGGACAGCTCCAGTAACAAGTGAGAGCTTTACATCCCCCTTTGCTTTCCCCTTCTTTTTCCCCCACTCCAACATCTGCCAAGAAGGAAGAAACCCACAAGCTTTCCCTTTTGTATTCTTCTGATTTTTTTTTTATTTTTGATAAATACATCTATATTTTGTACTTTGCCCAGCTGTGGAAATGGAGCAACCCCCAATCTTTTGATGCACCCTGGTTCGCTTTTTTGCAGTATTTTTCCATGTATGGTTTTCCAGCAGTGGGAGCACCGTTCCCCACCTTTCCCCCTTTTCCTTGAGTTAGTTTCCTAACGTAATCTGGAGGCTTGGCGGCTCTTGGACTGAATATAACTTTTTTCCCTCCACATCCCCCAACTCCCCCTTTGCTGAGCCTTGTCAGTGGGGACTGGAGAAAAAAAAACAGAAGAGAAGGAGGCAGAAGGGGCAGTGTGTGTGATTGTTGCTGGTGCTCAGGACCCAAATCTCTGTAGGTGTGTGTTGAAATATGGAGAATAGTCTTGGATGGGTTTGGGTACCAAAGCTGGCTTTTCTACTCTTCGGATTTTCTCTGATCAGCCTGAATCTTCAAGTCACCGGTAAGTGATCGCTGCCTTATTTGTCTTTTGCACTCCATGGAGAAGGGTGAATTTTGCAAAACCCTAAGGAATGTGCCTGTCTCTTATGTGTTATCAGAGTTTCCCCCCCACTCTTTTGATTTTGTTGTTGTTGTGGATCGGTGTAGGCTTTTGCAGGTAGTTGACATAGATTGGGAAAGGAGTGAGGCGAAATCTGGTTTAGAAGCACCCTGAGCAGCCTTTGAAAAAGGAAAACCAACTGAAAGGAAAGAAACCCATAAAAATAAAGGAGAAATGTGGGAGGAGGTGGTGATAGCATATGTGTGTGTGTATACCCTGGTTTGTATTCTCTTTTGCACCTGACCACTGTTGCAATTGGATTTATTTGCCTGTGGCTTTTTTTGGATCTTCGGGCTGAGATGGGATCTATAGATTTATTTATATTTTTCAGATGGCAGGGGAAGGGTAAATGATGAAAAGCAAAATATTAGTTTGCAAGATGGAAAATGTAGTTATTTGCAGAGCGTCTCCAAACTCCATTTGATTGATATTCTTTGGGGCTGCCTCTCTCTCTTTGCACTTGGCAGGCACATTTTCTGATTAAAAATGGCAAAGCTGGTTTGTGTATTGAATTAGGATAGAGAAGGAAAGAGGGGGTATTGATACTGTGATGCTCAGGAGCTGTCCGTGTTGGAGGCAGAGAAAAGCTGGGAATTAGAGATTTAAAAATAAATCGATCAGGAATTGGAGTATTATTGAGAAGTGTTAAGAACTAAGAAAGTGCAGCTTCAATTTGTAGGTGACTGTGTGTGTGTTTGTCTGTGTGTGTGTGTGTGTGTGTGTGTGGAGAATGTATGTGGGAAAATATTATTCTCCAGTGATCATTTTTTCTCCAGAAGAAAATGAGCTGTGTTTCATTAGGAGCAATCTTAGAAAGAGAGAGGCATGAAAAGCAAAATTAAATAAAATAAACACACACAAATTGCTTCCACACCAGCTGCTGCTGAACAATAGAAACCGATAACACCCCCCCTCCACACACACACACACACACACACACACACACACACACACACACACACAC